AATTGGCCATTTTATAGATACTACCCACTGACTAATGTCATCTTATAGTTGCCCATAACTGGAAATCTGTTACACTTAGCTTAAAAGTGGTGTAACAATTGCGTCCCAGCACATATTTAAAAAAAAAAAAAGCAGAATGAGTTGCTATTCCTGAATGGCATCATCTTCAGTGTGGGTGTTTAATTTTGATAAAGTCTTTTATTTTTTTTAAATAAACACTGAACTTCACACAGATAGTTGTGAGAAGCATCTACTGAATAAAGCTTAATTTCACTCATGTACGATGACAGTCTGTATTTCCACCTCCTCTGGTGACGTAATCACAAACTCCTCTGATTGGCCCATCACTTCAATGTCTTGCGATGCTACCATCGTCACAGTATTGTCTTCAACCTCCATCGTGTTCCCAGTGGCCAGAATGGAGCCCTCGCTGATCGCAGAAGCCAGAGTCATGGCCACCTGTTCCGTTAAGCTCTCTGGGGTGGCGATGGTGATGGTGTCTCCGCAGTCCGAAGTGATGGCCGCACCGTTCTCCATGGACACGTTCTGCACGATGATCTGGTGACCTGAGTTTGACTGGTTGACGATCTGCTGGACAACCTTCATGATATGGTTTCCCACCTGGGTGGAGGAGATGAGAATCATGTGATTACCATTTACTCGTCACCAACAAAACATTTTTCAAAGCAGCATTCGGATTCAACTCGCCTCATTCCTGGCGTGAGTGACGTCTTCATCTGCTCCGCTGACATCAGACGGGGCCTAGAAGAGAAACGGACAAGTCAGCTTCTGAGAAATAGCTGACCTTTTAAGAGGTACAGGGCAACTACAGGCTGTAAAAAGTATAACTGATACAATCACAAATGTTTTGCATAAAAAAAAAATCATTTTACATATTTGAATAATCTATAAAGGTTACTTGGATATTGGCAAATGGGATGATTACAGACTGAAAACATTAAGTTCTCTATTCTTAATGCAATTGTGACATGAATGGTATGTCAATTAAAACAGGAAAAAAAGAAATTCAAGAAAATCAAGCTGACCGTCAGCAAAAACGGAGGTCAGGTATTGTTTCATACTAGTGGGGGACAGTTATCTGAAGCCAAAGCACACCTGTACAATAGAGAGCTCTCAGTACTTTGGAACAAATGTAAATAAAATAAGTAGTTACAATTTTATCTTGCAAAGTAGCCTCAGTGATACACATTGTGAAATTACTTTTAAGAGCTTTTATACCAGGGGTCTCAAACTGCAGTCCTGGGGGGCCGGAGCCTTGTGTAGCTCTTTCTCTGTTTCACCACAAATGATTCAGCTGAGAAGCTGTGTGATAATTAGCACAAAGAGTCGACTCAGGTCTGTTAAATGTGGGTGAACCGAAAACTGTGTAGGCGCCGTCCCTCCAAGACAGGAATTTGAGAACTCTGCTTTATACTGAACCTAAAACTGTTGACTTGTTTTCAGAAATTGAGAAAAAACAAATATAGAAAATATCTAACAGTTACAGCCCTAATCTGTAGTCTAAAATGTGGGGGAATACACACACACAAACTGGTTCTCAGGTAAACCGGTAGTAGAACCAGTTTTCTCGTATGAAAAATGTTCACTTAGTCACTTGACAGTCATGGATTTCTTTTGAAGAGTTCAACTGAAACTCATCCTGTATTAAGTTTTGCCTGAGGATGAACATAAGAACATAAATTTACAAACGAAAGGAGGTCATTTGGCCCATCAAGCTCATTTGGGGAGAACTCAACTAATAGCTCAGAGTTGTTAAAATCTTATCTAACTCTGATTTAAAAGAACCCAAAGTTTTAGCGTGCACTACACCAACAGGAAGACTATTCCATTCTCTAACTACATGCTGTGTAAGTGCTTTCTCAAATTTCAAATGTTCTCCCACTAATTTCCAAATATGGCCACGAGTTCTTGTATTTGAACTAATACTGAAGTAACTATTTGGCTGAACAGCATCCAGACCTGTTAGAATCTTATATACCTAGATCCTATCCCCCCTTAGTCTCCTTTGCTCAAGGCTAAACAGATTCAGCTCAGCTAACCTCTCCTCATAAGACATTCCTCTAAGACCAGGAATCATTCTTGTGGACAACCTTTTGAACCTTTTCCAAGGTAACAATGTCCTTTTTAAGGTATGGTGACCAAACCTGCACACAATATTCTAGGTGGGGTCTTACCAAGGAATTGTACAATCTAGGCATCACCTCACTTGAATTAAACTCCAGACACCTAGAGATGTAACCCAACATCCTACTGGCCTTTTTTATTGCTTCCCCACACTGGTGAGAGTGGGACATGGAAGCATCAACATACACACCGAGGTCTTTCTCATAATCAGCTACCTTTACTTCAGTGGAACCCATAAAATATCTGTAATTCATATTTCTGCTCCATGCATGGATTACCTTACATCTGCCCAGTCACTAATTAAATCACGATCTTGCTGTAGCCTTTGTTTCGCTAGTTCAATATCTGCTACACCATCCAACTTCGTGTCTGCAAATTTAATCAGTTTATTGTTGTCAATATCGTTAATGTAAATTAGAACTAATAGTGGTCCTAATATTGAACCCTGCGGTACCCCACAATGAACGCAGGCCCACTGTGACATTGTGCCTCTATTAACTACTTGCTGCTTCCTGTCTGTTAACCAGTTTTCAATCCAAGCTGCCTCACAAAAAAATCCTTCAGGGCATGTTACTCTTCAATTCCGGCACCACTCGCCTTTCTTCTGAGCACCCAAAAAGGCGGGCTGCCATCTGAGACCGCGCCTCTTAGGCCCAGCTCACCTCGATGATGTACTCCTGCGTGTCCGCCACCACCGACGAGAACTCCACCAGCACCGCGTGGGGGTCCTCAGAAATGATGGTGGCAGCGACGTCACTGGGGGACGGCTGCTCCTCTAAGACCACAGTCTGCTCCGACTCCTTCAGCCCCCCACTGCAGCCCCCTGTGAGATAGAGAGACATTCAGCCTAATGGAATAACCACGGTTGGTTTATGCTCCACTTTTCCAAGTGCTCGTTCATGCTGCAGACAGTGTTGCGTGTGGAAGCTTGTGTTCATGCTACATTTGAGAGCAGACACCAGTGACTGCAGTCGGTGCATATGCACACAGCAGCGATATGCAGCTACACCAGAAGAGGGCAGATGTACTACAACAAACCTAAATACAAGCAGTGTAGTGAAACGGTAACAACTTTTTATGAATAGTTTTAAAGTTGTTAGTCTAGGCTTGGGTACTACTAAGATAATATGGCATACTACGGCATTTTCAAATCGCAAGTCCTTACGACAAAATTAGCTGGGACTGGATGGCAGGCTTATGCCTTATAATAAGGAGAAAAAAATCAACTGAAGACATTTTAAATGCTCATAATTATCAAATAAGCTGCAGTTCTGCCAAAAGACGCCCTGACTGAACATGACACACTATCCCAACCACGTGCCCCCCCCCGATGGGCCTCGCCTTTGGCACGAAGGTGCCGGTTGAGTGTGCCGTGCTCGGCAAAGCCGCGGCCGCACTTGAAGCACTTGAAGGGCTTCTCGCCGGTGTGATGTCGTATATGCCGCACCAGAGAGCCTTTCTCCCTGAAGCCCCTGGAGCAGAACTGACACACGTAGGGCTTCTCCTGGCCGTGGGTGCGCTGGTGCACCTGGAGGGCGTTCTGTGGAGCAACATGACAGAGGACATATTTAAAACACAGAGGCAGGAACAGGACAGAATCTTTCTGAAACACTGCTACTTTCAGAAAAAGCGCTTCAAAAGACTAAGCACACCCATCTCAGAAATACTAAAAGGAAACAAACATGAAAAGCACTTTCACCACCACCTCAGGCCACAGGGGGCAGCACATCACTGTTCATGCAGTAACATGCCTGATTCAAACAGAGGGTGGGTCTGTTCGCTCTAACTGGTGCTATAACACCGGACTTTTGACTTTTTAAACTGATTAAGTGATACTTTTATGAAATTTAACGAACACATGGAATGGCTCAGGCGCCCCAGAGGAGAGATTTAGGAACTGCAGCGGTGTTCTTCTAGCCATCCAACAAGATAGCAGTAAGTTTCTGGAGAACAGAGGAAATTCTAGGTATTTTTTTTTTTTTTTTTGTTCTGAGCACATACACACTTGCTACCCAGATAAATAGTTTCAAACACTTCCTTTGACTGCCTAACAGTTCTGCACAGAACTGTAGATCACAACTACTTTTACCCTCTAATAGCAGTGGGGGCCTCAGAAATATCGATGATGGCAGTCAGATGCTGACTTTCACCCTTACATGCAGTGCAACCCAATATGTGTGAGGTTCAACTGGCAGCTTTAGCGCCTCCTGCAGGACGTGGATTTCCCCATCATAAGGAATAAAGCCACCGGCGGAACTGTATTGATGCGTCACATCAGCACCTAAAGCTCGGTGCCACGGCGGTGGCCCACCTTGGTCTTGTAGCCCTTGTCGCAGCAGCTGCAGTGATAGGGCCGCTCGTCGGAGTGCGCCCTCATGTGCTCGCGCACGTGACCGATGGTTTTGTAGAGCTTGCCGCACTCGCCACACTTGAAGCGTCGCTCGCTCAGGTGGGCCTCCATGTGCTTCTTCAGCAGGTAACCTGTCAGGAACTCCTTCTGGCACACGCTGCACTGGAATGGCTTGAAACCTGCAGCAGACATGTTACACAATGTGGGAACACGCATGCAAGAGTGATTAATGTCACCGTGTAACATGTGACCCAAGCCGCACAGGCATGTCTGTATGTCTGCATCCTCCAATTACTGTGGATCAGCAAAAATACATCCTCTGTATATGTGACTATAGTAATGACAACAACAATGGTAGGGTTAACATATATGAAATACTAGACATTATTATTACTGTTGTTGGCTGTTCTTAATGTTGGTTGATCCACACACACACACACGTGTGTGTGTGTGTGTGTGTGTGTGTGTGTGTGTGTGTGTGTGTGTGTGTGTGTGTGTGTGTGTG